AATGGATCAAGGTATAATATCATAGTGGATAATGGGATCAATGGATCAGACCAACAAGACTGAGCGAAGTAAGCATCTTATTTATTTAAGCTAAGACTAAATGTCAGTTTTGTTATTAGTGCAAGTTAACTTGGTGTACGACTTCTCTGGATTTATGACTGGGCGCTAATCTTCTGGACAAAAGCAAATTTGGAATCTTGAACTTTTGTAATACAGCCGAAAACTGACCCTTTCAACTCTTTTGCGTAAAAAAATTAAATTCGATACTTTTGTTTAACTCTGACAATTATCTTAAAGTTATTGCGGGGCTTTTCTATCTACAATAATTAGTAAATTAACTCCTTCTGACGGCTTAGATTTTAGTGAGCGCCGCGTGATTACACCAATAGCGGCTGCATAGGAGGCTACTGGGATATCGCCTGATAATATTTGATACTAATATTGCGCATATTCTATATGAATACTCAAATGCTGATACTGTCCGAGGATAAGAATTGGTTTGAATTTTTGTTTGAGCAGAGATTTCAATTCCAATAGGGTATTTTCTATCTATTGCAGTCACGAAACCACTATATGGAGGCTTTGTACCATCACATGATAGCAACCATGACAGGAGGCACTGACAATATCCTCTGGTGAAATGAATTGTTTTCCTTGTAAACTGATCAGATAAGACTATGACGTGATGTTCTCAATAGAATCTAGTAAAATTACATACGCAACATATAGACTAAGGTGATCATTTTGATGCAGCCATGACAGGAGCCACAACACATAAGTCCTGTCGTGGCTGCCATCACGTGATGGTATAAAGCCTCTATACAAAATTTGCACCACATCACAAAGTAAACATCAAACTTGATTAAAATGTTGTGCTCCGTATTCAATTTATTCTTGGTGTGAGTATAAATACGAATCGCAAAGCTTAAGATATAATAAAATATGGAGAAGAAAGTGATTATAGGTTGAGGTAGTCTCGTCACGCAACGCTCACTCCCCTAAGTAGAGCGTTGCGTGACGACACTAATAGCGGCTGCGTAGAAGACCAGGGCGGAGGTGGATCCAGAAAAAAATCCTTTACGCGATCCAATCGTTTTAACAAGCTTCTTATTCAGGACATCCAGGACTCTTTTCTCTAAATTTATATTGCTTTTTTACGTCAGCCGAGGTAGCTAACAACTAGATAGCTAATTACTAGTTCTGCGAAATGGAGTGGATAGAACGCAAAGTTGCATTGAGTATTAAGTATTAGATTATCATTATGAAGTGTAATAGTATATTAATCGTTCCGACTTCCACTAGTTACCATTGCTATGTCCTACAAGCTCAACAATTTAACTAAAATATCAAAAAAATTAAAACTCTGGTCGCGGAAAATTGATTATAAATTGTGTCATGAATTTACTGTCCTGCGAAAAGAACAGAAAATTGCCTCGTAATGCTCGTATTACTTTAGTACACTGTAAAATTATTTGAGCTTAATCTATTCGGTGTCTGGCAAGACGTCGTATCCTGCAAAACTGCTTCCGAGACTCAGGCCACGTAAGGGTTTTCTTCCAAATAGTCATCCGCATCACTGAGCAAGGTCTCCAGCGTGTCACGAACGTCAAGGAAATTTGGACGGTCAGAAGGATCTGCTGCCCAACATTTCTGCATTAAAGCATACCTGTTAAAGGAAACAAGAAGGCGTAGATTAACAATGGCTAAAATTATGGGATTCTTTGGACTTGTTATAGACTTCTTTGTGCTTCACTAAGGTAAAGTGGATAACTAACATGTTGCTTGGTTGTGTTCTAGTGTTGACAAGATCGTGTTGTCTGTATGGGGGATTGTGGTCTAGTGTTGGTACTTCTTGGTGCACTTTGCTCTAGTGCCGGTACTAACATGTTGCTTGGTGGTGTTGTAGTGTTGACAAGATCTAGTTGTCTGTGTGGAGGATTGTGGTCTAATGTTGGTACGTCTTGGTGCACTTTGCTCTAGTGCTGGTACTAACATGTTGCTTGGTGGTGTTCTAGTATTGACAAGATCTAGTTGTCTGTATGGGGGATTGTGGTCTAATGTTGGTGCTTCTTGGTGCACTTTGCTCTAGTGCTGGTACTAACATGTTGCTTGGTGGTGTTGTAGTGTTGACAAGATCTAGTTGTCTGTGTGGGGGATTGTGGTCTAATGTTGGTACTTCTTGGTGCACCTTGCTCTAGTGCTGGCGCGAGCATGTTGTACTAACGGAGTAAATTATGGTCTAGGTCAGGTGCAAACGATTATGTTGTGCACATGGTTGATTGTGGTCTAGTTTTGGCGCGAACGTATTGTTAGAGCTACCGGCAAAGTCTGAAAGTTCTTATGTTCTTATACTTGGATTGTGTTGCAGGAGTTAACAAAACGTAAAGTGCCAAAAGGCGTCTGCAATGGCAGACACATCCCACAAAACCTCCAAGCAAATTCTATATTCCTGTGATCCGTTTGAGAAAGCAGTGTTTTGCGTAGCAGTGAGGGGTGATTACTGTAAAGAACTTACAATTCATCGGGTGTTCCATTCGGTTGCTCAAGTCTATGCCCTCTTTTAAGTCTGTCAACAAGTTCGATGTAGGAGACCGCTCCATGGGGCATCAGACCTTTAAATAAAGTAGTTATTTCAAAGATTAGGGAAAAAATCCCAACAATCAAACTCCCCAGAATTCCTCTACAACTCGAAGGGGTATAGGTTTCAACTTAAGTGGTGACAAGCTTGTTTATTCTCTTCTCAATTACAAGGGGGATGAGGAATGAAAATCAGTTGAAGTTATAAAGTTGTAAAAACAAACCTTTGGTTTCAATCTCCCAAAGAAGGACACCAAATGACCAACTGAAACGTAGAAATAACAAGTCACTTTAAATGGGGCTAAATGTAATTTAGGCAAAGTTAAAACCACAACTAAGCCTGCTAGCCTAAGCACCGTTGGCCAGCGGACCATCCACGCTACGCATGCGCCCACGCTCCGGGTGGCGTGTTCGCTGACCGGCTGGTAGCTTTGTATGCCATCTTTGCATGCTTGCCATCCTACAAGTACTCATTAGTTGATGAGTTTTAATCTAGCTATAATCATTTGGGAAAGAAATTATCATATTATCCTTTCTCGTGCTGTGCAGCTTCTTCCAGCGCACGTTTATATTTCTTAGTTATAAATGATACTTACATGTCAGACTTCAGAGTAAATTTCCTTATCTCTAAGGACTCGATGGCCATCCATCTGGTCGGTACTTTCCCCTGTACATAAGAATGTGATAACGAAAGGACATATGTTATAAGAGTTTATTTAGAACACATTAAATGAAGTCCCAGCCATCCACTCCTGACAGCCTTTATTTGTTTGCCATTCTGACCATGACTGACTTCGCAAAACTCAAACTATAGACCTCTTTACCTTGGGCGTAATGTTTCTCTATTTCAGACCACGTGTCATTCTCTAGAGAATCATTTCTTTGCTTAATGGTTACGCATGAGAAGACACTTACATATGGAAACGACTCAAAAAAGAATATTTTTCTCAAGGGAATGACACGTGGTCTAAAATAGGAAAACATTACTAATATGGTAGATGTCTATTACTAATGTTTGGGATTGCCAGTGTGAAAATATGACATTTTTTCACGAAATTACAGCACGATATAGCTTATTAATAATGACTGTGGTCAGTGAGATTACTTTCTAATACCAGACATTTTGATATTGCAATCGTTCTCATTTGTACTCACCCCAGTAGTCTTCTCGTATTCTCCCGTTTCGTAGATATCACGTGACAAGCCAAAGTCTGCTACCTTTGCAACAAAGTCGTCTGCCAACAGAACGTTCCTTGCAGCCAGGTCACGATGAACGCACTATGATCGGAAACCACAAAAAAGGTAAGTCAATCATCAAGTAAAAGAGTAAGCTTCCAATGTATCAAGCGATTTGTAATAATTAATTGTAATCTTTGAACATGTATTGAACTAGCGCCACCCGTAGACTATAACGATTCAAGGGGGACGTGTTACCCTTTTTAGACCTTTTTAACTTAGGAGCTATTTTTTTGTCATTTCAGACCACGTTTCATTCCCAAGAGTATCATTTCTTTGTTTAACGGTTGTACATGAGAAGACACATGGATATGGAATATACAACTCAAACAAAGAACCTCATTCAAGAGAATGACATGTGGTCTAAAATCTGAAATGCAAGCTAAAAAGATCTATAGGTTCCACCTCTATTTTCACAAATAGAACTCCTCGTATAGCGCGTAATGTCTTCCCATTTCAGACCAGGTGTCATTCTCAAGAGTACACGAGTGAAGACACATGAATATGGATACAACTCAAACGAAGAATCTTATTCGCAAGGGAATGAAACGTGGTCTGAAATGGAAAAACATTACGCCCGAGCCGAGAAGGTCTATATTGCTCGTAAAAAAACATATCCCATACTGCTTTTTGTATTACTTTGGCAAAGTTAACCTACCCTTTTACTCTGCAGAAAAGCCATCCCTTTAGCAACATCCAGCGCAATACGCAACCTGTTTACGTATTTTAGTTCAAATTCATATTCTTTTTCGGGTTTGAGCCTTTGACTTCTAAGATACTCAATCAGCGATCCATGTCGCGCAAACTCCACGATGACATATAATTTATCTGCAAAAAAAAAAAAAAAAAAAAAAAAAAATAAAAAAAAAAAAAAAAAAAAAAAAAAAAAAAAAAGTCTGACCAAAAAACTTTCGAATAAGCTATTGATATCGATTGTTAACGATTGTTGGGGAGTCGTGGCTGGCGTAGGAATGGTGCCTTCGCCACTCACCTCTCGCCTTTAGAGTCACGGGTTGGGTTTCTGGACGCAACCTGTTGTCATGTGAGTAGAATTAGGATCCAACTTTGATTAGAGGGTGTTTTTTTTATTTTATTTTTTATCCGCAAAACCTGACAAGCTCAAATTTTAATTCGATCTTTTAGTTATCCCCGCCCTGACTTTCACCAGCCCTTAGGTTGTTTTAGGGTTCTATCTGTAAGTTAACCATACTGTGACTTAGATCAGCCAAGAGGTTGTTTCAGGGTTCGCTCTGTGATTTAGCCGTGCCCTGACTTTGATCAGCCTAGAGGTTGTTTCAGGGTTCGCTCTGTGAGTTAGCCATGCTTTGACTTAGATCAGCCCAGAGGTTGTTTCAGGGTTCGCTCTGTGAGTTAGCCGTGCCATGACTTTGATCAGCCCAGGGGTTGTTTCAGGGTTCGCTCTGTGAGCTAGCCGTGCCTTGAGTTAGATCAGCCCAGACGTTGTTTCAGGGTTCGCTCTGTGAGTTAGCCTAGCCTTGAGTTAGATCAGCCAAGAGGTTGTTTCAGGGTTCGCTCTGTGATTTAGCCTAGCCTTGAGTTTAATCAGCCAAGAGGTTGTTTCAGGGTTCGCTCNAGCCTTGAGTTTAATCAGCCAAGAGGTTGTTTCAGGGTTCGCTCTGTGATTTAGCCTAGCCTTGAGTTTAATCAGCCAAGAGGTTGTTTCAGGGTATCGTTAAACGTTTTAGAAATTCTTTTCCCATCCAGTTTTTGCTACGTAATATAATGACATAGCATGTGATCTATTTTTAGTAGGATGCCGAAACGAAAACATGTCAACGATTAGGAAAACCTAATAAACTATTTTCTTTGACCATACAGGACAAACCTTCTTCAGCAGTTGCCCCGATAAGATTGACCAGGTTTGGATGATTTCCAATGTTGGCCATAATCTCGAGTTCTTCATACAACGCACGGTACTGTTCTGGTCCTGCATCACCTGTAAATAAAAACAAAATATTCATATAAAATTGAAGATCGTTAAAAAAAAGCGTTGCGAGACAAGTTTCAAGAGTGTCTACACGATGCAACGGAGATGCAAACGTTGCCAAAAGTAGAAACGAATTTTACATTTTACAACGATTGCTGCAATTTGTATCGCAACATTTTTTTTCAAATCGCGCTGTAGGTTATATTACACGTTGCAATGCACCATGTAACTTGCGTGGCAACGCCGTTGCGAACCAAGTTGCTGAGAAAATCCTACACGACGAAACGGAGACGCAATCGTTGCCAGAAGGAGAAACGAATTCTACATTTTGTAACGATTGCTGCAACTTGTATCGCAACATCTTTTAAACTGCGCTGTAGGTTATATTACACGCTGCAATGCTACATGCAACTTGCGTCGCAACGCCGTTGCGAACCAAGTTACTGAGAAAATTGATCCTTGTGATCGCGTCTTAAATGGAGCAGTTCGCGTCCTATAGGTATAAGTCAAAAATGGTTATGATATACTTATGTCGCACTTTGCTTGCATTTTACCTTTTAGAGTCTTGACTGCACATTCTATGGTTTTTCCATCTTGCATGAGCTTCCCTCTGTGTACAACACCAAATTCTCCAGACCCGAGTACATCCTGCAGCACCAGACTTTCTCTTGGAAAGTCTATCCAACTACCATCAGACATATCGTACGTTTTGTTGGTGAAGGATTTTAGATGTGGCTGGCCCTTTTCTACTTCATTGATCTTAGGAACAAGAAAAATGTGATATGCATAGTTCAGTGAAAAAGAACATTTGTTTGGTGAGTAGGAGTAAAGCTATGAAACGCAGCGTCTTGTATGTGGTATAGAAGATATTACATGGGTGCGCGGAGATTTTATCTTCGAGTGTTGAGGTGATATCTTACGAGTAAGCGCAGAGAAAGAGTAAGATATTCTTAACACGAGAAGATAAAATCCGTATATCCAAGTGGACAGGTGATATTCTTTTTCATATATAATTATCGATGAAATACAATTTTGGTAGGTTTTTTTTTCGTTTTTGTTTTTGATTAATGTGATTCCTAAGAATTCTTACCAATGGTGTTATTTTCGCGTGTCAAGATATATCAGTATCACTTTTTAGCAGTGATAGAGAAAAATAGCTAATATTTCATCAATGATTATATGCTAAACCAGGGTTGTCCACCATTTACCCGGAGAGACGGGTGAGGGGATGAACAAGTGCATTTTTCCACGTATACTTGCGTCGATAGATCGTATGCATATAAATATAGTTCAATGATAGAGTACAAACACTAAAAGTGTGCAACATAAATATCACTAAGTAGTGTTATTTTATGCTAATTCTATTGTTTTCTTTTGTTTAATTAGTGCTATTTACTGCTAAATAGTGATATCTAATGCACACTGCATTTAGCATTTGTACTCTAGGATTCTGCAGGATCATTGTCAACTAGGTTTTACCTTTTCTTGCCTAATGCTACTCATCGCAAACATTTCTTGTTTTTCTTTTTCTTTTTGCACCCTCCTTCGGCGGCACAGGAAAATAATAACAGCAATAATGATGAGCAGAAATAGGATACTGAAGATGACAATGAGGGCAATGATCCAGCCAGCCAGTACAGCTAGAAAATAACAAAATCATAGTCGCATTAAGGTATGGATGCATGTAAACACTTTTTCTCCAAAACTACTGCCAACTGATCTGAGAAAAAAGTTTTTAGACAATCAGAATCGAAAAATTTCTAAAACTGAGGTGTCACTTTTTCCCTCGAAATTATTGGTTTTCAGGCCACCATATGGGAGGGACAACGTTGCTAATAAGAGAATGATGACAGTAACACAATAACTAATGAGTTTTATATTTTTATTGCAACGGTGGACATATTCTTATTTTTCGGTGGTTAGTTTTTGCAACGGCTTCGTGACACCTCAGTTTTGCATTGACGCCATTCTACGTCACTATTTCAGATCATCTGGTATTCATCTTTTTTAGAAGATTAATCTTTAAGGTGCGATTGTGCGGTGCAATTTTCTCTGCAACTTGTCTCACAACGGCGTTGCGACACAAGTTGCAAGAGTGATTACACGGTCTCTTTCTAATTTTCGCAACGATTGCTGCAACTTGTCTCGCAACATTTTTTCCGATTGCGCTGTAGGTTACACGCTGCACCTCTACATGCAACTTGTGTCGCTACGCCGTTGAGAAACACGTTGCAGAGAAAATTGCACCGTGTAATCGCACCTTTACCCGACCAAAAAAAAGGGTTTGTTGGACTTTTATTTATGATACTGTATTATGGGACAAGAACGACCGTCAGTGACGGATCAGATCCAGAACGATTTCAAGGGGTGACTATTACCTAGAAATATATCAAATAGCGTTCTTTTTAGGTCTTAACTTATCATTTATTCTTATTATTTTCTCTAAAGGGGAGTGACTAACCATCCAATCCTCCCCCCCCTCCGGATCAGCCTTTGGGACAAACTAGTGAACCCCTTTGCTTTTCTTAATTCAATCCCAAAATCCAAGGTAAACGTTATCTGATATTGCTTTTCATAGACACGTGAAAGGAAGATTTCCTTTCTTCGAAGAACTAGTTATATTTACATCTCCGTAGTTACTTTTAAAGCATTTTTTTTCTTGGTCTACCTTCTTTGGTTCTTATGTCAATGTTATCGCTCTCCTGTCCTCTTTCCTGGTTCATGCCAACCACTCTTGCCACATAAGCAGTGCCATCTTTTAAGCCTGTTTTTTGTATAGAACGTTTAATATGCAATCAGACCACTTGCATGTAAAGTCAAAAAAAAATTCAATCATTTGAAAATTTGGGAACCTAACGTTTTGACCCCCAAATTGAGCTGCATTTCGAAGTGCTGCAAGAGACTTTAGACCTAGGCTAACCTTGGACGGAATGTTTTCCCATTTCAAACCACATGGCATCCCTAGAGTACCATCTCTTTGTTTAAGGGTTGCGTATGGGAAGACAGATGAATAATGGATACAACTTAAACTAAGAATTTTCAGTTTATTCTCAAGAGAATGACACGTGGTCTGAAGTGGGGAAACAGTACGTTCAAGGTAGAGGTCTATAGGTAGATAGATAACGGTATGGATAGTACATATGCATTGCCACTTTATACAACTAACTTCTCTTTGGCTGCTTGAGATTTTCTCTCGGATGTATCAGTATTTAAACACACTAGGCCAATGTTAACACCCAATCCAAGTTTTCTATGCATATGTATATGCGCAGTGGGCCTTCATCTCTCAATCCATCAATGCCATTACTATTGCCAATAATGCGTCCCCCAATCCTTTGCATCAAGTCGTTACACATTTTTCTTTGAACAAATCGAATTTATAACATGATATAATCTTGGAGATTTACCTGTTATTTTCGATCGTTGACCTTTGATGATGCCTGTGTTTTCTTTATTTTTCGGCTGCGAAAATACCCAGTACTCAATAAGATATCCCTTTATACCATAATAGATGTGGTTCTGAGGTTTATCCCATGCTATTTCTGCGCCATCATCTGTGGCCTCGATAAGAGTGACATTTTCTGGCTGTGGCGGAGGTGCTGGAAAAAAGAGTCATCGAGAGCAGAAGACTTCAAAAAAATTCTTTTTACTAAAAAATAGTACAAGATTGATTACGAGGAGGGGTTTATTTATAGGATATAAGTACTTGGTAATAATTTCCAATCCAAATTGTGCAAATATTTCTATGATATTAGCAACTCAACATAACCGGGATTGCGCTTGCCGATTTTAGATGATGATTTGTTTATACAAAAAAAAAAAAAATATATATATATATATATATATTTATTTATTTAGTTTGAAGGATTTTCTCCTAATAATTATATATTAATTATACACAACCCAGTAAAGAAACTTCTAATAATTACTATAACACGTAATCCAATAAATAAATAAGAATGCAAAAAAAAATATTTTCATACATACAGTCTGTTTCAAATGCTTCGGGGCTCGTGTCAACTTGTAAATTATCATTTATCCATCCAGTCTTGGTCTGATCGACGATTTTCTGAGCAACAACTATCCTTTTAATTGTTGTTTCGCCTTTTTTATTAACGACTTGAACCACGATCACACGGAAAATGACTCTGATGCTACCATTACTGTACAAGTCAAAAGCAAAAATAAGAAATAAGGAAGGAAGGAAGGAAGGAAGGAAGGAAGGAAGGGAAAAAAATCAAGCTTAAATGCAACTAGTTTTGAACTAATTTTAATGAATTTTGTTTCTAGGGGTATATGTGGCGTTGATCTTACAATTATATGGCAAAATTTAGGATACCGATGGGTCAAGGATTTTTAAAAGGGTAAGTTGAAGGCCGAGGAGATGTGGGATGAGGAGGGGGGGTGGGGGGGGGGGGGGGGGGGGGGGGGGGGGGGGGGGGGGGGGTGTGTGCCGAAGCAGAGCTCCTGTGAGAAGTGGGACCAGGGTAGGTTCTTTAAATCAGTGTTTGTCACCGAAATTTAAAAATATCCATAATCACGGCAAATAATATAATCCGTAAGCTTCAATTTTGCTTCGTTTCTCACCGTATTTCTAGGATTTCTACTCCAGCGTATCCTTCAAGGTTTTTGTACACTACAGCCATCTGATAAAATAAAAATAGTCCAGATATATATAAAAAAAGATTTCTTTGGACATGTGTCTTACGTGTGTCTTAGCCAACACGCAGTCGGTTCAGTTGTTTGAGCATGAGGATAATGTGCGCAAGTTCGTTGGTTCGTGTTCGCCGGACCAACACTCAGGGGACCTAAAATAACTGAGGAGAAAGTGTGCCTCTGCAATTACATCTACAAATGGTTAGACTTTCCAGCTGGCTTGGTAAAATGGCGGTCCCGTCGCTCTACCTTTATTACACTAGCCAATAGAGTGCAAACAATATAACCATGAAACTTTAGTAATACTAAATAGCACAATTTCATGCATTGTTCCATTGTTTTCTATTGTTTAATTAGCATGATTTTTATACTATTTAGGCCCCGTCCACACTATGCCGGATAAATTTGAATCCGCAACTTTCACACCGAAACCGAAAAAGAAATTTTCCGTCCACACAAGAAAACGGATAAAATGTTTCGCGTCCACACTAGTCCGATCAGAGGCGGCGAAAACGCTTCATTGCACATCTGAGCATGTGCACCAAAGCTGAAATTGAGCCTGCGGTGAATTTTTAGCCTTCCCGCCATGTTCCCATGACAATCATGACGTCATCGTATTCGAAACATTTCGGATACGAAATGTTCTCCGTCCACACTAATACGGCTAGCCGGCGTTGTAAATTGTTCCACTCTGGATACCGTATTCGAAAAAAATCGTTTTCGGTGAAGAATTGTTCCAGATTCGCCCGGACTAGTGTGGACGGTAGGCCTAATCGAATAAATAAAAATTCGGATTCAAATTTTTCCGGCATAGTGTGAACAGGGCCTTAGTAATTAGTGTTTCACGATTAATTGTTTGCACTCTTTCGGAGGGACGTAAAAGATTGAAGCATGAGAACGTAAAGAAACCCTGGCTGTGACGACCCTCATTGTCGCGTACTAGCCACCTCTCATGATCGTAAACGCTATTGATTGCATTTGTCAATATAGAAAGGGCGTTATATAAACCATACATCATTATCATTATATAAACATTTACCTGCGCTTTGAAATTGTCTTCGAATTTTTTGTAATCAGAAGTAGTTTTGTCTTTGATCTCATTTGTAAAATTCCAGTTCAGGATACGAAGACTAATCTTCACTTTCACGGTCACTAAGAATACGAAAAATTGGACCTTTTATAAATAAGATGAAACCGAATGTAACTTTCGTCCATTTAGACATAATTGGAACGTGAATCCTTTTATGAGATCAGTGCATTTGAAATACATTAATTAAATCATGCAGGCCCGTAGCAAACAAAGCCTAAAGGTTTGGGGAGCCAAATGTCGCAAAATATGATTTGCTTTTGTGTGACTGATTTTGTTTGTGTTGACCGTTAGAAAAACGCTGGGGGGCACCCTCTTCCCTTGCTACGGGCTTGCATGGAGCTTTAAAGGGGAAGGGAGAGAAAGAGAAAAGAGGGAACATTTATTTAGCTGATGCATTTTTTGTAATTTGTATTCTACAAAGGAAATTGGGAAATGGAAGAAGAGAGGAAAAAAGGAAGAAAGGTAGGTTTATTACGTAGGTCTACAGGTTGATAAGTAGGGAGGGAGGGAGGGAGGAAAGAAGGATGGAAGGAAGGATGGAAGGAAGGAAGGATGGAAGGAAGGAAGGATGGAAGGTAGGAAGGATGGTAGGGAGGATGGTAAGGAAG